ATATATATATATGTATATGTGTATATAATATATATATATATATATATATATATATATATATATATATATATATATATATATATATATATATATATATATATACACATTATAAATAACAATGATAATGGATGGATTTGAACTGGTTTAAAGATTGGTGTGAGTCAGAGTTTGTAGAAGCAGACTTAGGTCCAGACGTTGGTAAAAGGCAACAGTGTTAAAAGTCCTGGATCCTCTTTAGACCCTGCATCAGCAAAGAACCAAAAAACAAAACAAAGTTGAATATTGAGAGGGATCCACCCCAAAGACGGCTGTGGATCCAGGACGTGATGATTGACAGAACAGTAGTAAAACCACTTCCTGTGTTTACTTCTGAAGTTGTTTTACTGGAAGCTGCAAAACTCATCCCCAAAAGAGTTTCATCCAAACATTTAACCGATGAAAACACGGCACAAAAGCACAAACCAACATCTGATCCGCCCAAAACAACTTCTTTAATTATTCATCTTTGCATTTTTTACTTCTGGGAAAATAACATGCTTCATATTTTGGCTCAAACTTACTGCTATTTATAATTATTATCAAACTTTTATACTTTACTAAATAATTGAGTTAAAACACATTAAAAAGTAGGTTCACGGAAAATTAGATTTGTGTCATGAAAATAATCCCAGAAGAATTAAGATTAAAGTAATGTTATAAAGATATATTTATTATTAAAGTAATGTTTTAAAGATATATTTATTATCAAAGTAATGTTTTAAAGATATATTTATTATTAAAGTAATATTATAGAGATATATGTATTATTAAAGTAATGTATCTGAACACATGGCTCTTCATAAAACAAACCCAAACAAAGGCACACGTCATTATAATATATTAATAATACTAAAAACCTCTGTCATTGTTTTGTTTCCAACCTCTAGATCAGAGAGTTGTTCTTTTTCATGAATTATTGCCGTTCTGAACTTATCTGGAGATTTGTGACTAAAGCGTAATCACACAACAGGAAGTAGAGCTGAAAATAAACAGGACTAACATGAGTTTGTTTTCAGCCTGAGGTACAACTGTCTGGACCGACCGGCGCCGCTTCTGTGCTCCATCCTCAAGTCACACCCATGTCACGTCAAAAAGCTGTTGTAAGTGTTTTCTCTGAACATATAAAACACAGCTGTGCACGTTCACGACACAGGCCTTTGTGTGTTCTTAGTATGTGCGGGAACAACCTGGGGCCAGAGGGCGTCCTGGATCTGTGCCAGGCTCTAGAGCACAACAACACACTGGAGGAATTGTACCTGGACATCACCGGGATCACACCGAGAGGCACCGAGAACATGGTCACGTGTCTCGGCAGAAACAGCTGCCTCAAGACCCTCACGTGAGACTCTGGATACTGCTCATGGGCGGACACTGCCCCCTGCTGGTTCTCTCTGTAAACACTGCCCCCTGCTGGTTCTTTCTGTAAACACTGCCCCCTGCTGGTTCTCTCTGTAAACACTGCCCCCTGCTGGTTCTTTCTGTAAAAAACTGCCCCCTGCTGGTTCTCTCTGTAAAACACTGCCCCCTGCTGGTTCTCTCTGTAAACACTGCTCCCTGCTGGTTCTCTCTGTAAACACTGCTCCCTGCTGGTTCTCTCTGTAAACACTGCTCCCTGCTGGTTCTCTCTGTAAACACTGCCCCCTGCTGGTTCTCTCTGTAAACACTGCTCCCTGCTGGTTCTCTCTGTAAACACTGCTCCCTGCTGGTTCTCTCTGTAAACACTGCTCCCTGCTGGTTCTCTCTGTAAACACTGCCCCCTGCTGGTTCTCTCTGTAAACACTGCCCCCTGCTGGTTCTCTCTGTAAACACTGCCCCCTGCTGGTTCTCTCTGTAAACACTGCCCCCTGCTGGTTCTCTCTGTAAACACTGCCCCCTGCTGGTTCTCTCTGTAAAACACTGCCCCCTGCTGGTTCTCTCTGTAAAACACTGCCCCCTGCTGGTTCTCTCTGTAAAACACTGCCCCCTGCTGGTTCTCTCTGTAAAACACTGCCCCCTGCTGGTTCTCTCTTTAAACACACTGCCCCCTGCTGGTTCTCTCAGGGAAAGGCTCTCTCTTAAAACACTGCCCCCTGCTGGTTCTCTCAGGGAAAGGCTCTCTCTTAAAACACTGCCCCCTACTGGTTCTCTGAGGAAAGGCTCTCTCTTTAAACACTGCCCCCTTCTGGTTCTCTGAGGAAAGGCTCTCTCTTTAAACACTGCCCCCTGCTGGTTCTCTGAGGGAAAGGCTCTCTCTTTAAACACTGCCCCCTGCTGGTTCTCTGAGGGAAAGGCTCTCTCTTTAAACACTGCCCCCTGCTGGTTCTTTGAGGGAAAGGCTCTCTCTTTAAACACTGCCCCCTGCTGGTTCTCTGAGGGAAAGGCTCTCTCTTTAAACACTGCCCCCTCCTGGTTCTCTGAGGGAAAGGCTCTCTCTTTAAACACTGCCCCCTGCTGGTTCTCTGAGGGAAAGGCTCTCTCTTTAAACACTGCCCCCTGCTGGTTCTCTGAGGAAAGGCTCTCTCTTTAAACACTGCCCCCTCCTGGTTCTCTGAGGGAAAGGCTCTCTCTTAAAACACTGCCCCCTCCTGGTTCTCTGAGGGAAAGGCTCTCTCTTAAAACACTGCCCCCTGCTGGTTCTCTGAGGGAAAGGCTCTCTCTTTAAACACTGCCAGGTCCTGAATTAGTTAAACACATCACATCGTAATGATCATTTGTCAGTGAAATAAGACAACTGCTCCCCCTGGTGGTATCACAGGGCATTACACATGTGAGACATTTTTGTACTTATGTTTTAAATCATATATTTGGATGTGAATGTATAACTTTAAGCAGTTTGTGACTAAAGAGTAAGAATGACCAAACCTTCTGCCTAAAGTAAGGAATGTAAATATTGTAAATACTTATGAATGTATAATTTCACCTTCTACAACATGAAAGAGTCTCATTATCTTTATCATCAATCTTTTTTTATGAGCGCTTCCCCTACACAGAGCAACACAAAACCACAGTCCACCACACAAGGAACAAATCATCACATACAACAAACACACATATCATTAAAATCATTAAACATTAAAATCATTAAACATTAAAATCATTAAACATTAAAATCATTAAACATTAAAGTCACACAGAGGATTACAATAACAAATAATAACGGTGCATTAAAAAGAGTAGAGATAAGATCCTTCCGTTTTAGCTCAGGCCTTTATCAATGTTTAAGAACAATAATAATAATAATAATAATAATAATGTGTTTTAATTCTTCTTCTTCTGCAGCATCGTTGGGAATGACATCGGGGACGAGGGCCGGCGGCGGCTGCGGCGGCTGCGGCGCTGCAGACCAGAGCTGCGGGTCATCGCCAGCTTTGTGGATGACGTGGGTTTGCTGCAGGCCTACCTGGACTGGGTGGAGGAGATCCAGGCTGACAAGGACCAGATGGAGTCGGTGAAGAACGCAGACGCCCTGCTCTCGGTGCTCCATGGTCTGCAGGAGACCGGAGACGGGACCGGGACCAAGACCGAGACCGAGATCTCACAGAAGGCAAAACTACTGCAGTTAAAGATCACACAGCTGCTGGACTCTGGGACCACGTGATTCAGACACAAACTGTCAACTTTCAACAACTGGTGGCTCAAATTTGGTAAAATAATCCGAGCTCATTCTGACTGAGCCTTAAAACCTTAAAACCAGATTCTCCAACAGGACAGAGCAAAATGATCTTGTTTTGAAAAGTTACAGAAATGTCTCCTTTGGAATGAGCAAATAAAGCGGTTCTTAAATCAGATGAAGTGTCTTTGTCCCGTTGGAGAATCTGGTTTTTACAGAGAAAGTGTCTTTTTTCCAATGTAGGATCTGACTGCTCTCACTAAAAACCTGGAAATCTTTTACAAATTTTACAAACTGAACATAACTTCTTTAAAGTCAGAGATTTTGGACTTTTTATTTTATATTCATTCTAGAACAGAGTCATGGTTCATTTCTCATTCTACTGTTCTGTACCTGCTGCTGCAACACTGACATTTCCCTCTGAGACCAGTAAAGGATCTCTTCCTCTTCATCATCCTCTTCATCTTCCTCTTCACCCGCTCAATACTTCATATAACCTCCGGGTACATAACAAACGTGGAGAGAAGCAGGTGACAGCGGGAGAGGGGTGTAGGGTCGGTGAGTGTTGGGGCCTGTGTCGTCGTGTGTTCTGTGTTGTGTTTACAGAGTGCAGTTTTAGAGGTTGGTTTTATAGAAGTGTGTTTTCACATGTCTTTATTTTTGGTCCAGTTTTGGTTAAATCTTAAATAATAAACACTTTTTCATGACAAAAGTAAAGAATACGTCATAGTGTAAAAAACCCGCTTTTTTTGGTTCTGCAGATTTGATAAAGACAAATAAATAAACAATATCCAGTTGAATCCACCGTAAACACTGGTCGTACTGAACACACCATAAGTCTCTAATAAATATGCTTCGACTTTCAACGGAAAGTTTCAGTTATTTACCATTTTTAACCCACTTTTGGATCTCTTTAAAGTCACATTTTAGTCTCTTTTTCTGCTTAAAACTTAAAACTGAAATATTTCTTTTGTTGCATCACTGGGTTTTCACTTTTACTATAAATCTGCATCTCAACCTTTTGTCAAAGGCCTATGAAAAGGGTTAATAAATATGTTTCTTTGCTGCTTCATCTACATTTAGTGATACAACATTAAAGCGTTGGAAAATTGCTGAGTCAAGTTTTTGCAAATATGTGTCGAGCATCTTCCAGTTTCTCTCAAAGAGTGAGAAAAACACCTCGACACGTCTGAGCTTCACCCGCTCATGTCCCACTGCAGAGTTCTGCTTTCAAAGACTTCTCTCTTTGACTCGAAGACCGTAAGTACTGCTCAAGTTTTACCTTTGTGTGGTCTGTTTTCAGAAAACTAGTATTAGAGTAGATTTAGAGCTGATAGAAGTGTCTTTGCACAGAGGAGAACGCTTTTGTTCTATGGTCGGCCGCAGAAAAAGGTCACGGTAAAGAAAACGTTATTGTACGATCGCTTTAATATAGAAAAATATCTAGAATAACTTTAGAAAAGATGATTATTTATTGTTAATTACTGCCATGAATCTTTTTTCTCCTGTTTAGTTTTCCAAAATGAGCCTTTTTCAGAATCACAAGGAAGTGCCCTTAAACCCTAACTTCCATTGTACTTCAGATATCAAAGTTATTTCAAATAGATTTTTCCCAGTAAGTGAATATGACTCGTTTATTGTTAGTTTATTTAAAGCTTGCCTATGTCACTCAGGGCTTTCTTTGAATTGAACTGTTTCTGTTCAAGTAAGCCTCACTTTGGACATTTTGACGTGTAGAGTCTTGAATGAGACAGGTGTGTTGCTGTCAGGGTGGTACGGTGACCCTTCACCTCTCAACCCCAAGGTTGTAAGTACGAATCCCGGTCGGAGCATAAGTTGAAATTTAAACTTTGACGCAATCACTTGAGTTTACTTGGTAATATAAAGTAAAGGATGTACTCGAGGAATTCAAGTGAAGTTTTAATGTGCAATTTATTTACAAGGTTTTTTCAAGTAAACTTTGCTTGTCAGGGCTGTTACTTTTATTCTTATTATTATATTTATATTATTATTATATTAATATATTAATAAGGACAATGCATCAGTTTTATACACGGTGGTGATAAACTACTACTGTAGCCACAGCTGCCCTGGGACACACTGACAGGAGCGAGGGTTAGGGTCACACACACACCAGACTCATTCTAATGTGGGGGAAGTGTCTTGCCTAAGGACACAACCACAGTTTGGCACTTTACAGCCGCCCCACTGTGGCACCTGCTGTTCCCAGAGGTCTCCCATCACCGCACTAACCAGGCCCTGCCCTGCTTAGCTTCAGAGGTCTGACAGTATCTGTTTATAATGATTCCATTCATTTTATTCACATTTCCCTGAGAAAAGTTTGATAATTTATTTATCTGAGAACGACAGACAGAATATTATTGTATGATCTGTTAAATTTGGACAGTTTTGAAAACTCTTGTTTCCGGTGTTAGATGTGGGCTGTTCGGATGCTTCTCTCTCCCCTCCTCCTGTGGCACAGTGAGTGGCTCAAACACATAAAAAGTGGATTATGAAAGAATGATAATCCAGAGATGTTATAATGGTTGTGTTTGAAGGTGCCCAGAGACTTCAGCGTCTCTCTGCCTCGACACATGGAGGCTCTGCGTGGATCCTGTCTGACCATTCCCTGCTCCTTCACCGTCCGAAAGACGTATGAGCAAGACCTGACGTCTGACTGTAGATCAGAGTGGAGAAAAACCACTGATTCTAAAGTAGCTTTTACTCGAACAACAACAGGAAACTTAGAGCAGAAGAACTGTACGACGACAGTGCGTGACATCACAGAAGAGAACCAGGTTTACTTCAGACTGCTCTGTGGAGAAAAATTAAGATATAAGTTTATAAAATCACTAAACATCACAGTGACAGGTCTCTGCTGCTTCTTATTCTAATTTGAAGTTGTAAACGTGGTTTGTTCACTGATGCCCTGTGTCTCCCTCCAGAGGCTGCTCCCACTCCCACCCTGAGCCCCCCCACTGTGAGTGTGGCTGAGGGGCAGTCTGTGAGGCTGCAGTGCTCTGCTCCTGTCCCGTGTCCGTCTCTCCCTCCCACTCTGACATGGAGCCCTGTCCTGGGACAGGTTCAGGTCACTCTGCAGCAGCAGGAGGACAACACCTACGTCCAGGAGTCCACTCTGAGCTTCACGGCCTCCGAGCCCCAAACCAGCCTCTCGTGCTCCGCCGTCTACAGCCGCGAGGACGGGACGACGGTGACGAGTGCCGCTGCCACGGCTCAGATCACCTGTGAGATGTTTTATATCTATATAACTGTAAACGTGGATCTGTGGATCCACTGGAAACACTGGGGGCTCAGTTGTTTGAGCATTGGTCTTTGAACCTAATGGTTGTGGGTTCGATCTCATCACGACCCATGTCACCTGCTCCCACTGAAGTTTGCTGTCGCTGTGTCCTTGACCCCACTTTGCCCAAAGCCCCTGCTGAAACACCAAGGCCATGTCCTTGATGATGGAGCAGCCATTTTCCCTTTAAAAGCCTTTAAAACCTTTGTATTCACCAGATGAGCAGATGGAGGAAGTGAGCTTTAAAAGAAAAGCATAGACTTCTGTTTTCAAAGTTTCTGGTTTTTTGGAACTTAGTTTAGAAAAATAAATGCACAGCTGTTTCCTGATGCCATGGGTGGGTTTGTTGATAGAGCAGAACTTGGAGGGCTGAAAGAATGGTGTTGAATATGTCACAATGGGCTTTTGTCTGTGTTCGCAGGTGACGACTGTCCTAAGTTTGGTGTCCTTCTACCACTGAAGATGAGAGCTCTGCAAGGATCCTGTGTGACAATACCCTATTCTTTTCAAGTGGAGAACAAGTGTAAAGACAACTTGGACCGTGGATGTAAAGCAATATGGATAAATAACAACAAAGCACAGATAACTGGAGATTTATCTCAGAGAAACTGCACCACAACCTTTCATGGTCTTAGTCCTCAACTCAGTGCTACTTATTTATTCAGAGTAGAATGTGAGAATCCTCTGAAATATACATTTCAAACAGGTGTGGCTCTAGAAGTGACAGGTATGTGTTTAAAGCCTCCGCCCAGTCACAGTTACTGTCAGTGGGTAAATGTTCCCTTTGGCTGTTCCAGAGGCTGCTCCCACTCCCACCCTGAGCCCCCCCACTGTGAGTGTGGCTGAGGGGCAGTCTGTGAGGCTGCAGTGCTCTGCTCCTGTCCCGTGTCCGTCTCTCCCTCCCACTCTGACATGGAGCCCTGTCCTGGGACAGGTTCAGGTCACTCTGCAGCAGCAGGAGGACAACACCTACGTCCAGGAGTCCACTCTGAGCTTCACGGCGTCTCACATCCTCCACGACAAGAGCATCACATGCTCCGCAGAATACAGACGAGAGGACGCCTCTGTGACCACTGCGAGTGTGCAGACCACGCCTTCGGTCTCATGTGAGTCATGGTCCAAACCTCATCAGACCAAACACTCTGAACCAAGGATGTCATGTTCATCAGATATGAAAGAACAGCTGTGATCTTGTCCTTGTAGATGGACCCAGAAACACCAGCGTGACAGTGAGTCCCTCTGGTGCAGTGGCAGAACACAGTCACATGTCTCTGAGCTGCAGCAGTGATGCTAACCCAGCTGTACAGCACTACCACTGGTATAAAGCTGATGGAGGAACTCACACTTCCATTGGAAACTCCTCTGTTTTACACATGAACGCCTCCAGAGAAACTACTGCTGTTTTCTGTCAGGCTCAGAATGAACTTGGGACTCATCGCTCCTCTGTCACTTCTTTAGACGTCCAATGTACGTAGTTTGTCTTTCTAATGTCTTTATCATTTGACACACACCACATGGTGTTCAGTGTTTGTTTCTGTGGCAGATCCTCCGGAAACTCCAACAGTGAGCATTATTCCCTCTGGTCCTGTGGCAGAAAACAGTCACATCAGGTTGATCTGCAGAAGTGACGCCAACCCAAGCGTCTTCCACTGGTATAAAGCTGATGGAGGAGCTCACTCTCTGATCGCAAACTCCTCTGTGTTTCAAATGAAAGTCTCCAGAGAAACCACTGCTGTTTTCTGTGAAGTCAAGAATCATCTGGGAACGGAGCGCTCTGTGGTCTCTCAGCTGGACGTACAGTGTATGTCTTTTCTCTTTGTCATGAATCATGTATTAAATGTTCACATGTTGGATTGTGTGTCCAGTCCCTGCACAGATCCTGAGCTCCTCAAACTGCTCTGGAGACTGGGCACAGATCCTCTGTGTGTGTGAGGCTGAGGGGAAGCCCTTTCCTCTGGTACACTGGACGTTCCCAGCGGTCTCTCCAAACCTCTCCATCAGCAGTGAGCGTCTGAGCCACTGGGCTCTAAGAAGTGTCCTGACTGTAGTGAAACCTCAGTGGACACATCCAGTCTCTCTGCTCTGTCGCACCAGCAACTCTCTGGGCTCTCACACTCTCAGTCTGAACACACCGTCGTTTCACCAAACAGGTCTGTTATTGCCTTCTCCATAATGTGCTTTTATGTGCTCCATCGTCCGTCATGGTTGTCATTTTTAGTTCCTGTTTCATTTGGAATGATCCGTTCTCTTCCTGTGTCAGTCAGAGTGTTACTTCCTGTTCTGTCGCCCTGATGTGTTGTACCAGTTTAAGTCCCTGTGCTCTTCCTTCTTGTCGTCAGTCCATTGTTTGTTTGTTCCTTGGTTCTTCTTGTCCCCAGCTTTATTTTTGCAGTATTGTGTTTCTTCTGCTTAATCCCTGGCTGGTTGCAGGAGGCAGCAGTCTGAGAAGAAATACAATTTGCTCATAGTTTTACATTTATTTCTGTTGTTTCTTGTAGTGGTCTTCGGTCTCTCGTGGCGTCAGGTGTTTCTTTTATTGTTCCCTTCATTTACAGCATTTCAAATGTCCATGTTCCAACAGAGCTCTGTAATGATCTTTCTCTGATGATCTTTGACGATTGTTTCTTATACTTTTTAGCTTGTTATTCCTGTCCCTGTCTGCGGCACTGGAGACCTTTACACAAATGTTACATGGAAAATAAATATGGTTCTGATTTTTGTATATATCGTTTTAAGAATCAAGGTTTGAAGTCTCAAGTCTCCTCCTCATCACTGCTGTTCTGACGCTACTGGCTGTGATCGCTGTTCTGCTCCGAGTGATCAGGTAAATACAGAGAAGATAAGATAGAGATCCTTTATACGTCCCACTGTGGGGAAGTTTCAGTGTTGCAGCGCACAGACAGGACAGTAGTGACACAGGGAGAACACAGAATACACAAAGTAAGTAGCTGCTTTTATTTCCACTTTTTATTGTACATACTTATATCCTGCACAGACTATATTTTAAATCTTTAAAATGCCATGGACGCACAAACACTTACGCTTGTGAGCCATTGACGCCTATTTTCATGTTCCCAGAGGTTTATTGTAT